TCTCTCTCTCTCTCTCTCTCTCTCTCTCTCTCTCTCTCTCTCTCTCTCTCTCTCTCTGCACCATTAACAAGTGTTACCATTGCGCTAGTTACTCCAATTAGGTAAAACCGGTTAACCATTGCCACATTTTTTCCCTTCCCTTTGTCTCCCGCGCCTTATCCTCCTTCCCTCCCTCCTCACTCCTTTATTCCCTCTTCACTCCTTCATTTCTTCTTCACTCATTCACTCACTCCATTCATCACTCATCATCTCTTATTCTCCCATCCTCCATCATCCATTCCTTCCCCCACCCTCCTTCCTTCCCTCCCTCCTTCCTTTCTTCCCTCCTTCCCTTCCTTTTCCTCACTCCATCCTTCCATCACTTACTCTTACCTCCTTCAACCAATTCCCTCCCCTTTCTCCTCTCTCCCCTTCTCCTTCGCCACTCTCCCCTCCCTTGAAAACTTTCCTCTCCACCCTCAGTGTCAAGACCTGACTGAATAGGCAAACTGTACTCCATGCTTTGTCAATAAATTTGTTAAACTAAACACTTTACACCTCCTACCTCCTACCACCTGCCTGTAAATAACCCTCCCACTACCACCTTACTCTCCCCTCATCCCCCATCCCTCATTCTCACCTAACCCGCTTAGTAACCTAACGCTCCTAGGTACCTAGGGGAGGTGTTGTTGGTTGGGTAATATTCGAGAGAGAGAGAGAGAGAGAGAGAGAGAGAGAGAGAGAGTGTGTGTGTGTGTGTGTGCGTGTGTGTGACTCAGGGAGGAAGGTCAGTTGCCAGCGAGTAAATAATTATCCCTGGTTGGTGTTATGTCAGTGTGGGTCAGCCTCACACCATGGCTGGCCCTCCTCTTATTAACTGTAATATAATTAATCACCTCTAACACCTATGAGCACCTGCTTGTGGCAAATTAATTCCAAGTCGTCGTATATTTCTTCGATGACGTTAATGTTTTTATATGTAAAAATTTAATTATTTCTCGCTTGTTTCTTTCTATTTTATGTTTTAATTAATTAGTATATTTATTTGTGTATATCGTTTATTAATTAGTGCATTTACTTATTATTGTACTTATTCTTTGTGTTGTGTTGCTGTTGTTTTGTGTTGCTGCTATGTTGTGTTGCTGTTGTGTTGTAATTTACTATGTTATCCGGTGTGACGATGTGTGTTAAGTGAAAAATTATGCACGGTATTGTCTTTTTACCTGAGTATAATTACATTTACCTGTCCATTATAATTATGTGGGAACCAGAGTGTGTGAATTATTGTGACGGTGTTGTGAGAGGGAGAACATTATTATTGTTCATGAGATTTATTTGTGTACGTTTTCTTCCTCCTCTCTCTCAGCCCTCTCTCCCCTCCCTTCCTTCCCTCTCTCCCTCCTGCTAACCTCCCTCCCCTTCCCCTTTCCTTCTGCTAAACCTCCCTTCCCTCCTGCTAAACTTCCCTCCCTCCATCCCCCCTTCCCTTCTTTATTCCCTCCGACCCACCATCCCTAATCTGAGAGGGGACAAGGAGAGAAAAAGAGGGAGGGAGGGAGAGAAGAAAGAGGGACGAACAAAGGAAAGGGGGGGGGGGAGGAGGAGGAACAGACGAAGAGAGGGAGGGTGCAAGGAGAGGGGAGGCTGGGTGGGAAAAAATGAGAGGGGGGAAAGGGTATTAGTTTACCCTCAGTTGACCTCTGTTGACCTGCATTGTCACTCGTCTTTTGTTACGGTACTCTTGTTTCTCTGACCTATGACCTTTCCACTGAACCATTCCATTCTCCCCCTCCCTCTCTATCCATCACGCACACACACACACTCACACACTCACACACTCACTCACTCACTCACTCACTCATTCTCTCTCACTTTCATTCTTTCTCTCACAAGCAGTGGAAGAGGGAATGAAATAAAGAACGTATGAATGCAAGAATCAATAAAAGGATGAAGAAGGAAAGAAGGAAGGAAAAAATAAGGAAAGAACGAAAGAGAAAGAAAATAAAAAATAATGGAATAATGGAAGGAGAAATAAATAACGAAAGAATGAAAGCCTGAATGAATGAAGGAAGGAAGGAAACACTATCACCAGAGAAGGTAATTAAGGTGGAGTAGTTCACACGCTGAGGTATCGTTCATTACTGATTAGCGTGATCGGATAGGCTCTCTCCCTTCTCTCCGTCCCTCACCTCCCCCCCGCCCCTCCCCCTCACCTACCCCCGCCCCTCCCCATCACCTCTCCCCGCCCTCCCCTCACCTCTCCCCGCCCTCCCCCTCACCTCCCCCGCCCTTCCCTCACCTACCCCCGCCCCTCCCCTCCACCTACCCCCCACCCCTCCCCTCACCCTACCCCCACCCTCCCCTCCCTACCCCACCCCTCCCATCACCTCTCCCCCCCCCTCCCTCCTTACCCCCCCCTCCTTTCCTTACTCTCCCTTCCCCTCCACCCCTTTATCTCATTAACTATTATCCCGCCACAACACTTAGGGCTGATGTAGGTACCCGCCTTTAAGCTGACTAACACTCACACGGTCTGGAGTATATCTGAAATATATCCTCAATGTATATATCACCTCTTGGATATAGCTTTTGGTATATATTATATCCCAAACGAGACTATATTCTCCTCTAGTGATGGTATACCCGGATACTGGTATATTCCCCAGTAAATATTTGACTTCTTGGTATATATCCTCACGTGTATAAGGATTTTTGGTATATTTATGTGAGTATATCCAGTAGACTTTTCATTTAATATATCTTGTGTTATGTTGGGGTATATCTCCCATCAGTATATACGGTATACTCCATCTTCGTCAAGGTATATATCCGTCATCACTCTCTCATGTCTAAATATATTCTCCATCAACATGTCTTTGGTATGTCTATTATTACTGTATATATCATCTGAAGAGACGGCCCAGGATGGCTCATTTTAATTTATAATTTTAATGTTTGCTAAGATTATCATATCGATTTTATTTTGTATTTTTATTAATTTTTTTATATAGTGTAAAATCTTGTAGAAAGGTTAATGTCTCTCTTTAGTGATACATGTACACCGAATGACGTCAGAGGAAAATAATATGCTGATAAAAGATATGACGTCATCCGTGTCAACACCACCCCCCCCCCTCCACGTCGGGTTTCTATTGGTGGTAACGCCTGGTTGGTTTTGTTTACATTTGACGTCATCGCTTGGTGCTAGTCACGGGCCTTTCATACTTAGCAAAGTAGTAGAGTTATCTCAGGTTATTTACCATATGATGTAACAGTATTTGCTGTGAGGGTTTATTCTGTGGCGCCATGACGTATTGTTCCTCTCTGGGTGTTCCGTGCCCCAAGTGTTGCCTCACAGCGTTGACATTGGTGTGTAATGGCGCCAAAATAACTTCAAGTTTGGAAGTCCCGGATGAGTATAGATATTTTTTTTGCCCTTTTAGTCACTTGAAACTGTAGATGATTTTAGTCATGGTAAATAAAATACTGTATTGTTTATTTTATTGCTTGAAACTGTACAGGTAGATGGTAATGCTGTCATGAAAGTAAAAGGGAACATTGCATCACACATTTATATTTGTCGTCGTTGTTATTCATGACAATGTTTCAGAGTGACCTGGTGTTAGTTGTCGTGTTCGTTAGTCGTGGCTTTATTTGGCTGGGCAGGAAGCTGTACCAGATAACACAACCACAATGACCCCTGTTGTTGTAACGTTGTCAGTGATGAGGCTTGGGTGTTTGATGAGCTATGGACAACTTTGCCTCACGTAAAACAGGTGAACCTATCTGGAATATTTAACGAAGTGATTAACGCTACGATATTGGGTCGTTGTTTTTTTTTTTCTGGTGGTTAAATTTAGGTTACGTTGGGGGTGCGGTGGATGAGTGGATACTGCTCTTTTTTCTGTTCTGAGAGTAGCTGGTTCGATCCCATACCTCACCCCCAGTTCACCCAGCTGTAAATGGGTACCAAACAGTGGGATTATATATATATGTGTGTGTGTGTGTGTGTATGTGTGTGTACGGGTGTGTGTGTGTATGTGTGTGTACGGGTGTGTGTGTGTGTGTGTGTGTACGGGCGTGTTGGACTTACACAATAATTTAATTACCTCTCCCTCCTCTCTCTCTCTCTCTCTTCTCTCCCGACCAATTCACCATAATTCCTTTAATTAACTCCTCCCGTGTACTCATTTGCATATCTCCATTCACACCCCCCCCCTCCCCTTTTGAGTTCTCTCTTCCCGTTTTCTTTTTATCCCTGAAGCGGCAAAAAAAAAAAAACACATATGTAAATTTACTGTTAATTCCATCCCATTATTCTTGTTTTCTTGTGCGTGGAAATAATACACATCCTCTTGTTACGTCGCCTTTGTTTGCTCTTTCCGGCTATTTTAACCTTTTGTTTACAACCTCGTTACTTGTTTGCTTACTTGTTTACAACCTCGTTACTTGTTTGTTTACTTGTTTACATCCTCGTCAGCTGTTCACTTTTTGTTTACATCCTCGTCAGCTGTTTATTGTTTTGTTTACATCCCCGTCAGCTGGTAATGTTAACATCCTTCTATAAAATTCTCTTTTTTTTTTTTTTTACTCATTTCTTACCTTCGTCTGGTCAGTGTTTATCTTCAGTTTTTTGACCCATGAAATATTGACTTTTCCCACTTGCTTTTCTTAACATAGGTTCTCCTTAGTCTATCGATACACTTAGCGTTCTTATGTATATTCTTTATCATATGACGTTCACTTTTTGCTTTCTGTGTCATCTTAATTACACACACACACACACGTTCGTCGTTAATACGTTCTGTGGCATAGACGATACACTTACGTTCCTCAATAATACAGTCTTTGTCACTAACTACATTGACGTACCATAATAATACGTTCTATACCACCAACTATACATACATTCCACATTACTACGTGCACTAACTACCCATACGTTCCTTAATTAATACGTTTTGCTATGACCTCAATAACCCGAAGTAACTAAAGTGGTTCCCCCTTCCTCTCTTCTACAGCACGCGAACAACGTGCGAAGGCTGGCGGAAGAACAGCGTCGGCAGCACCAGGACCAACATCATCAGCAACAGCAGGGAGGAGGGCGAAGGTTCTCCTCGAAGTGGGAGATTCCTCAGTACGATGTGGTGTACCGTCAGGATGTCACCCCGGGGTCGTTCTTCGCCAGAGACAACGTCCATAACTTCATCTCGTGGTGCCGTGAATTAGGCATCTACGAGGTCCTGCTTTTTGAGACTGACGATCTCGTACTCAGGAAGAACGAGAAGCATGTCATTTTGTCTCTCCTGGAGGTGGCTCGTCGTGGTGCTCGGTAAGTGATGGAGGAGGAGTGTTGTGTGAGATGGAGAGGGTGGGAGTAGGAATGGTGAAGGTTGGTGGGAGTAGGGATGGAGAGGGTTGGTGGGAGTAGGGATGGAGAAGGTTGGTGGGAGTAGGGATGGAGAGGGTTGGTGGGAGTAGGGATGGAGAGGGTTGGTGGGAGTAGGGATGGAGAGGGTTGGTGGGAGTAGGAATTGGGAGAGTGGTGGGAGGGGAGGTTGGTGGGAGTAGGGATGGAGAGTTGGTGGGAGTAGGGATGGAGAAGGTTTGGTGGGAGTAGGGATGGAGAGGGTTGGTGGGAGTAGGGATGGAGAGGGTTGGTGGGAGTAGGGATGGAGAGTTGGTGGGAGTAGGGATGGAGAAGTTGGTGGGAGTAGGATGAGATGGAGGGTTGGTGGGAGAGTGGGAGGGCTGGTGAGTAGGGATGGAGACCCTAATACAACTATTCTGATAGACGATGGTGAGTGGGATTGTGATGAGTGGAAATTATCGAAAGGGATTGTGGTGAGTGGGAAATTGTCAGAAGGGATTGTGGTGAGTGGGAAATTGTCAGAAGGGATTGTGGTGAGTGGGAAATTGTCAGAAGGGATTGTGGTGAGTGGGAAATTGTCAGAAGGGATTGTGGTGAATGGGAAATTGTCAGAAGGGATTGTGGTGAATAGGAAATTGTCAGAAGGGATTGTGGTGAATGGGAAATTTGACAAAGGGATTCTCTCCGAGTCGACAGCGCCCATGCACACATCTTCAGGTTCATTTCGCACTTCTGACAGGGTGTTATACTCTTGGGTCGGCCACAGCACCTTGGGGAGGAGGAGGAGGTACAAGAGGAGGAAAGGTAGAGGGAGAAGAAGAAGGAAGAGGAGGAGGAGGAGGAGGTAGAGAAGGAAGAGGCGGTAGGGAAGGAGAAAGAGGAGATAGGGAAAAGAAAGAGGTAGGGAAGGGAAAGGACGTAGAGAATAAAGAGGAAGAGGTAAGGAAAAGAGAAGAAGGAATAGAAGATAAACTAGGAGGAGGAAGTAGGGAAGGAGGATGAAAAGGAAGAAGAGAATAAGGAGAAGGAGGAGGTAGTGTAGGATCTTCGAAAATGACAGTAGTTCCTCCCAGGACTCTTGAGGGTGGATGGTCTTAGGGCTCCGCAGTGCTCCTGAAGGTGGTGGTGCTGGTGCTGGTGTTAGAGCTCCCGAGGGCCTCTTGTCAGGGGTGTTCAGGGGGAGGGAGGTGAGGTCAGTGGGTAAGTCGTCTGCAGGAACACTTAGAGAGACTACATGTTAAGTCTTTTGACATACGAGGATTTGGAAGTCTCAGGTTGTCTCTTTTATGTTTTATTTTGATGTTTCTCTTTTTTTTCACTTTCATCTTTTTCGTCTCTTTTTATCTTTCGTATTTTTCGTCTTCCTTTTTCATCCTTTTCATATTTTTTCATATTTTTTCTCTTCCCCTTTCTCTTCTTTTTTCCTCTTATTCTTTTCTCCCATATTTTTATTTTTGATCTCTTCTTTCTCATCTTTTCCTTATTCTATCCTTTTTTTTTTCATCTCATACTCTCATACTCTTCCTTCCCTTTATTCATTCTGCTTAAATATCACTTTAAAAACGAACATCAACATCCTTCACACGCAAATATCATCCACCAGTTCGATCAGGAAAGGCTAATAAATTATCTGACTAAAACATCCACTAAGAAATTAACATCGGATTTCACCCCTTTTAATCAGGTTTCAATTCTTTGTGTCCTCTTATAACTGTTGACGGGATCATGTTGAGCAATTTTAAACCGCCCGTAAAACATATGATGCAAATGAGCTCCTGTAGGTAAAGGGAGAAGGGAAGGGAAGGGAAGGGGAGGGGTGGACAGGTGGGGAGAGAAAGGGTTGGAAGAGTAGGTAGTGGGGGAGAGGAGGGATGTTTAGGTGACGTGGAAAGGCAGTGGAGTGGAGAGGTACACACACACACACACACACGCGAGAGAGAGAGAGAGAGCCCCCTCCCCCAACTCTCCAGGGGACTCCATCATACAGGGAGAGGAAAGATATTAGTATTGGATGTCAATAGCCATTACTGTGTTAGAATTGACGAGCTGCAACTGAGATGTGTGCAGAGGAGTGTCGATGTCAGGAGGAGGAGGAAGGAGGGTGTTCTTTAATTGATATTTCGTCTGTGCATTAATGACGTGCAGTGGAGTGACTTGTATTGTCAAAGATCAAAGTGACTTGGGTAATGATTAGGATTTTGTTGCAATATTGACTGTTACGGTAAGAGTAAACTATATTAGGAAGGATATACAAGACTGACTTTGCTGGGAGGGACTCGGTCGCTTACGTGGGGTTTTCATAAGGTATGGGCGGGTATGAAGGGCGGGTTATGGATAGGAAGGAATCATGAACTTGTATTGTAAACTCTTATTGTGATCACAGGTTCGGGATGGCTGCTCCTCTGTTGGTGCAGATGGAAGCGGACATCGACCGGGAGCTGGAGCAGGAACGACTTGCTGAAGAACGTATGGCAGAGAGCGGCGGTCAATTCAACGGTGAGGATGAGTCGTGGAGCCATGATGGGCACGACCTGACTCCTCCAGAGCCGCCTAAGATGTTCTACGGCCCTCAACCCCAGATCATCACCAACGACCTCAAAAGCCTCGACGAAATGGTAAGTACTGCTGTTGTGTTGAGCACGGCTGGTATGTGTCGTGGTGCACCCGCTGCCAGGCCTTCCAGTGCTGCTGCTCTCTGTTTCACACCTTACTCCCTACCTTAAAACACCGCCATTGTAGGCAGAAGTAAGGCGAACGATAGTTTATTGAACTTCTCAAAACCAGGCGCTGTTAACTGCTCGTGCTGGCGCTGTTTTAATGGTAGGTACGCTAGAACCACTGTTGCCTTAAACGTCACCGCTAAGTGACAGCCATGTTTCTTTGTTCGCTTCAAGTGACGCTTATTATGTTAAACGCTGCCGCCAGGTGGTGGCTGTTTATTTGTCTTGGTGAGGATGATGGCGTCTGTCACCCAGAACTGTGACGCGAGATGATGCCGATCTTCCTCCTTGACACTTGAAGCGATCGTTGTCTTCCTCCTTGACACAGAGAGAAAGAAATCCTTCCAGTACAGTCAAGGAAACACTTCACTGGTTGAGGAAATGTCAGAAGAGCGATGCAAGAACTTACTGGACCAGGTGTAAGGGAAAGAAAGAAGCCTCATTAACTCTTGTTGACATGTGGGGATGGTCGCCACCTGAGTCAGACGAGAACCATCAGTGTTAATAAGAAACAATTATTGGTAAAGACAGATTAAAGGCGTCATCATTAGTAGAAACTTAACAGAGTCCATATAATAAGTGTGTGTGTGTGTGTGTGTGTGTGTGTGTGTGTGTGTGTGATAAGGAGGAAGGGGAAAGGGACAAATTTATCCACAACAGAGAACGGAAGTGCATGACCGATGTAGCAGGACCACCAACACCGCGCCACCAAGCACCAAACAGAGACACGGAAGGTGAGGGAGGGAAGGTCAGGGAGGGGGGGGGGGTCGGTCAGGGTAGATAGGGCGTCATAGTGTTGTGGAAGGAAGTTGCACACTGATAACATAACACCGACATAGAATCAACAAAGATCTTCCTCCTCCTCCCTTCCACATCACCCCTTCCTCTCCTCCCTTCCCCATCACCCCTTCCTTCTCCTCCTCCCAACCCCCATCACCCCTTCCACGATCTCACGTCCGGGGAAGACTTAGAGCATTGTTTTGATGGTTTGTTAGTGTTTCATGATGTTTATCCCGTTCGTTGTATCTCGTTCGTTCATTATGTGTTCTTTGTTGAGTCTTTGGGAGGGGGGTTATCTTTTTGTTATCTTCTTGTCCTTCCGGTAATTATTTTGTGTCCTGATAACGTATCCAGGTAGTCGCTTTATTTAAATATACTGTAGGTGTATTCTTGCCTAAGCTAAGATGTCTGTGTTGGTTTTTTCCTGGGTGATCGAAAAGTCTCTGTGCACCTGGAATAATGCACACTATAGTCATTCCTTGTTATATCTACATTATTATATACTTTGTTCTACTTACAGTAAATTGTGGATATGTTCATAGTAAAATTATAAGTGTATAACATTTCCATTATATACTGAAATTAGAACAAATTACATAAATACAAACATATAACGAAGAACAACTATATCGCTGATTATTGGAGGTGCACAGGGACTTTTCGATCACTATAACAAGCATTAGGACACCATCTTAATTGTACCGTTGTCCCTAGAAAAGAAAGTTCACTGATAAATATAAACGCATTTAAAACTTGGTCTCTTGAGTTAGGTTAGGTTAGGTTAGGTTAGGTTAGGTTAGGTTAGGTTAGGTTAGGTTAGGTTAGGTTAGGTTAGGTTCTTTGACTCTTAAGTGAGATTGAAGATATGTCTTGGGTGATGTAGAGACTGTGAGTGTAAAAATAGGAAGGTTGCAATATTTTTAGAGGAGAGTTCATAGAGTAGTAGTAGTAGTAGTAGTAGTAGTAGTAGTAGTAGTAGTAGTAATTAGTAGTAGTAATAATAGTAGCAGTAGTTGCTTGTTTTTGTGAAAGTAGTCGTAGAAGTGTGTGGCATAGCATTAATTAAAGGGCCTGGGGAGGGTCAAGCATTAGCGTGATACAAGTGTGAATGCATTTGAATAGAACAGGTGTCGCACGTGTTCCCTGAGTGGTTACAGGTGTGAGAGAGGACGTGTTGATATACAGGTGTGAGGGAGGGCGTGTTGATATACAGGTGTGGTGAGGGAGGGCGTGTTGATATACAGGTGTGGTGAGGGAGGAGTGTTGATATACAGGTGTGGTGAGGAGGGCGTGTTGATATACAGGTGTGTGAGGAGGGCGTGTTGATATACAGGTGTGGTGATGGGGAGGGTGTTAACGATACAGGTAGAGGTGGACCGCAGAAGGAAGAGACAATGGGGGTTTACCTGGTTTTCCTCCTGTTAAAGTTTTAAAGTTTATGCAGAACGTTAGGTGTGTGTGTGTGTGTGTCAAGTGGTCCACGGTCACTGTGTGTGTGGGTCAGTGTGTGTCTGCCGTGAGAAGTGGGCCGCGGGCTGCCATCATTATCCACACAAGTACCTGCCTGTACCTGGACCAGCCGCGCGTGCACACACACACACACACATACAATGAAACTCACATACCATCTTTTGACTAATAAATGTGGTATTACTTGGAGTGTTATTGTAATGATGTAATGACAGAAGTCTTTAATAACAGTGATATAACAGTACAGTCGAGTGTATAGGAGAGAGAGAGAGAGAGAGAGAGAGAGAGAGAGAGAGAGAGAGAGAGTCGTGACGCGCTAGTTGAAGCGAGTTATATCTTCGTGTCACATGGTCAGGCAGGGTGGGGGAGACGCTGAATAACACGCACACCGCATTTAGTGATACAATACATTATAACTAGAACATGATAATACAATAACTCTATTACGAGACAAAACAAAAAATACAATACTTGATGAGAAATAAAAATACAATATTTAATGACGTTAATACAAAAATACGCTACGTAATTTAACGAGACAATATAACTGAATTATGACAAATTATAAATACAGGAGTTTATTTTTTATTTTTTTCCTGCTAGAATGTTAATTAATTTGACAGTGGTAATTATTGTTCTCATGGCCATAAATTTAAGCCGTTTGGGAAGGGGGGGGGGGGGGGGTATTCTGCATAAAATTACAATTCCTGAAAATGTAATTATGACGTAATGGGATGTAATGTGATGTATTGTATGTTTTTCGCCAGGCATAAATATTTGTTTATTGTTTCACGTGTAAATAAATTATGTTTATAGGAATATTATTGTTGTTGATTATTTTTGTTTGTTTGTTTGCCGTTGATTAGTTTAGTGTTTAGTGTTGGAGGAGATAAATGGAGGCAGGGAGATACCTAGGAGATGGGAGAGACAGGTGGAGACAAGGGAAGAGAGAGAGAGAGAGAGAGAGAGAGAGAGAGAGAGAGAGAGATCCATCATGACGTTCCTGGGAAATAAAGTGACTCGTACACTCTCATTATGACAACCATCATGGAAATAAAAAAAGTACTCGATATTTTAATCATAATTCGTTTCATTTAAATTTTTTTTTATACCATGATGGAAAGATAATTAATATCTAGTTTGCCTTCCTTATTTTCTTCTACCGTCCTGGGAAGAGTAGTTTGTTTATACTCTTCGTGGGATAAAGAATATATATATACCGTATATATTTTTTACTTTCGCGGTAAAATAGAAGTTTTATATTATACTTTCGCGGGGGAAGATAGAGTTATATACTTTGGTTGGGGGGAATATTGTTCCTACTTCACGTGGGAAAATGGTTGAGATATTGTTTTGAACTTTCTTAAATACAATAGGATCTGTCTAAGGCTTTGTTTTGGGTTAAGTTAGGTGGGTGTGATCATTAGGTGAATCATTGGGGGTTAATCTTAAGGTGATTGAACAATATATTAATTACTTCAGTTATATGGTGAAGCGTTTATAGCTCAGTTGGTCTTGAGTGTTTATGTGTAATTAGCTGTGAATTTTATGCTTGGGATCAGCTGTGAATGCTTACGTGCAATCAGCTGGCAGAATGTTGACGTTTTGATGATTGTTTACATGCAGTCAGCTGTGAATGACTTACGGTAGAGAGAAGTGCGCTCGTATCTTTGACCCAGGTGGCGCTGTGTGTGTGTGTGTGTGTGTGTGTGTGTGTGTGTGCGGTAATGACCGGTAGTAAGACAACAGGAAGGGGGCACTCGTGTGAGGGAAGTGGAGAGAGAGGGAGGGAGGGGGGTAGCGGTCCTGAGGTGGGGGAGGGTGGGGCGGTAGGTGGAGAGGTGAGGGGAAGGAAATACACACAAGAATGATGACCCACAGTTGTTGGTGTGGCACGGCGCTGACACACACACACACACGCACACACACACACACGCACACACACACACACACCTGGAATAAAAAATGAATCTTATTGCATAACATAAACCCAAGAATGCAAATGAATGAGTGGATAAAACGGAACTACTAAAGATATGAATAATTTTTTGTTTATGTACTGTAATCAAGACCAAGGTTATACACAATCGGAAATGGGGACTTAGAATTCACGGTGTGTTATCGGTATTTGAGCCTCGTCGCTATAATGTTCCGACATCGAAGCATTAACCACTTTTATGGCCCAGGATAATGTTGTGATAGCGGGATATTGAATGAATTGGAGGATATAACCAACCTCACCTAACCTGATGTTACCTTAACCAACCTTACCTTACCTAAACCAACCTTACCTTACCTAACCAACCTTACCTTACCTTAACCAACCTTACCTTACCTTAACCAACCTTACCTTACCTTACCAACCTTACCTTCCAACCTTACCTTACCTAACCACCACCTTACCTTACCTTACCTTAACCAACCTTACCTTACCTTAAGCCTTACCTTACCTTACCAACCTTACCTTACCTTAACCAACCTTACCTTACCTTAACCAACCTTACCTTACCTTAACCAACCTTACCTTACCTTACCCAACCTTACCATTACACCACCAAAACGATAATGCACTGTTATCATAATCACAACCAATAGTAAAACAATAAACGAATTAATCAAAAAAAAAAAAAATATATAGAGGTAAT